TATAGTCCGCTGGCTGAATTGGGTTTGTACTTAGAGCGAAAGCCTCGATAAGGCAAGAACTTACCCAGCATTCTACCAGGTACTCGATGCCCATTTCATATCTGTTTCAGCTTTCCTCAGACAATGGATGACTCAAAGCATGAAAACGAACTATCCAGTGGACCTAAGTAGCAAAAAAGTGCGTCAGATGCATTAACTAAAGACAGGAGCAGAGCGATAAAAAGAGCAGATATTACGCTTCTTAAGTTGTGACCTCTGGAACGGTGGATGCCTTAGTGTAACTCGCTCATATGCTGGGAAGGCCATATCGCAGCTGTTCTCGAATGAAACATCATCGACAACATTTCTTGCTAACGACTTCGCCCGTTTTTCTTTCAGCTTTCGACGAAAGAACGTTGAACGACCAAACGTTGACGTGTCGCTGCGAGCTGCCTTCGCCAAACTTTCTGCACTAAAAATTAGAAACTCTCATAGAAACGACCAAAATTCGGAAAATCGACAGCGCGTACCGGAAAGCGATGCACACTGGCCCTTCTATTATACTTCTTTCCGGTGCCTTAGTGAGCAAATATGCCAAAATGTACACAGCCTACGTTTTGGAACCGCGTCGGTTCTTACACACTGCCTTGCGTATTAAAACAAAATTTTCTAGCTAGGACCGACTGAAATCATGGAACTAAGCCCGAGATTAAGGGCTCATTTGCATTGAGCAATCTGCTCCATTTACACTGAACAGTGAATAAACCCCACAAACTTCGAATTTAGAGCTTCAGTCTTTCAATTCTGTAATTAATCAAAATTAGCTTTATTCACGCACGGTCGTAAGCGAATGAACAGGACCAGACGGAAGTTGATTTTTAGTTCGCGGTTCTGCACACATTCAACTCCCCAACTTTCGCAGCCCTAGAGGTGAAATATTGGAATGCACAGGGACGCAAGCACAAGCATACAGGCATGACTTAGTTATATCACATTTCTGCATAAAACAAACATGTATAAATGCACAAAGCGGTGGTTACAATGCAAAACCCGGATTACGAAAACCATTCGCACCGAATACATCAGCACAAGACCCATTTGCATGTAACTGCCGCATAGTAACCATGATATTCAGAAATTACATTCATCATTACACTCATCGTGCGTTTTTGCATAATACGCAATTATGCGTTTTTGCATAATATGCAATAAATGGTCAACGCACGGGCTGCCCGTGCGAAGATGCGCTTTTTGCAGAGTTCCGCGCAGGTTTTTGTCGCTACCGGCACCGGTTTTTCGGCAGATGCTTCTAGCTGAATTTCAGACTGGC